TTCTCAACTTGTAATGGTTTTTTATGATTAAATAAATAAATGACACCAACCTGATTGCGGGATTAAAAAAAAAAAAAAAAAAACTTTTAATAAACTAAGTCAAATTAATTCTAAAGTTTTTTTCAAATATTATTTATATTATACAAGTTTATATATGTCTATATAAGTCAAAAAATAAGTTTTTTTTAGCTTTAATTCAAATATTATTAATAAAAAAGCTATCTATAAATAAATTTAATAATTTTAAAAATAATTTAAAATTTTTTTTTAATATTTTCAAAACTGTTTTTTATTTTTTATTTATTTTTAAATTTTTTGGAAAAATATTATAATAATTATTAATAAAGCATGATTTTATTAACACTAATTATATATTATTTAATAATTTTTATTATAATATTTTTTTTGAAAAATATTTAGTTTAATTTTATTATATTATTAAGAAAAAAATATATTTGATTTAAATAAATTATCTATAGAAATAATTTGTAAGTTATAACTCTATCAAATTAATTAAATTTTGATTTTAATATATAAATAAAAAATATATTATTTTTATAAATTATATTTAAAAATTTAATATTATAAATAATTAAATTAAATTAAATTAATTATATATATAGGATATTGTATTTTAAAAATTTTTATTTATCTATTATTTAACAACTATTGCATAAATATTAATAAAAGTTATATTAAAATAAAAATCAAAACCTAAAAATTATAATAATATAAATTTATATAAAAATAGTTTTTTGAAATTTTTTGAAATTAAATTTTTAAGTATTAAAAATTGATTACAAATAAAAATTTCATTAAAATTATTAAAATTTTATAAATTTTAATACAATAAATTTAAAAATTTATTAATTTAATCTATAAATTTTTTACTTTTTTTAAAAAAATTTTGTAAACTTGAATAAAATAAATTTAAAAATTGGTTAATAATAACAATAATATTATATCATTTTTATAAAATTTATTTTTATTTTTTTAATTTACTATTAATTAAAATATTAAAAATTTTATAAAAATTTCAAAAAGTTTTATAACACACTATATATAATTTTTATTATATTGATTTAATTTAGTTTGATTTAAAAAAAATTGGTTTAAAATAAATTATTATTTTTTAGTATTTTTGTTCATTTGTAGTATCTAAAAATATTTTATTTACTTGTTTTTATATTTTATTTATAATAAGAAAATAAAAGTAAGCAGAAATTATTTAATAAAAATAATAATTAAAATAAAACCATTTATACTTTTTATATTCAGTGCTTATTTTCGGATGAAATCGGGCACGTGGTAACCCATAGCGAAAACGGCAAAACACGTACGAACTGGCAGAAATTCGCACCTTCACAAAATATGAAGGTGTCGAGTATTTTCAATAGCGCAAACTATATTTTATTTTTATTCTCCTTACCCTTAGCGTTTGACGTTGGCGGACGTGCTACCGGTTTGGCTCTATCATTCGCGTTGTTTTTTTATTACATTGTACTAGGCCTGGCCAAAGTAATATGGTGGAAGAGGGAAGGTTTAGGCTGGATAGTGGTGAGTAAAGAACGCAGGTTTTGAATTTTCACGTGTAAAGCCTATCTAATATCTTATTAAAATCATCTATGATTTAATAAATGTATAATAGCCACAGCTTCTTACTCTATCTCAGCCATTCATGATTCCCTATCTTCTCTTTCATTCCTTTCGATTGACTTATTCTTCAATGGTCGAAGACAAAATAGAAGAATTGCCGTCTATTTTAAGATTTTATGAGGGACTATTAGAATATTCTGCGCCATTATTTATAATAATAGAGGGAACTGCTACTGCACTTGTGGTTGTAGTATGCAGAAGTGCGGTGAAAAGAATGGTTGATAAGAACGAAGTATTGGAGGTAAACTAATGAATTTCTTTCGTTCTTATCATTTAACTTTCCGGGACCCACATCTGATGTTCTTCTTAATTATCTAGGTACATTTTTTGATTGGATCAATATTGATCTATGCGGCGTCATTCTATTTTCTGTACACGATCTATAGCTTACCGGGGATGGATCCTGTAACTGCAACACTTATTGGATCTTTTATGACATTAACTATTGTCGTAACATATAGTTTGTTTGCGAATAGCAACAAAGGACTTATAACGGACATGGCTCTTTTGGTCGGAAAACTTTTTTTTTTCTTTTTATATTATTTGAATACAAAATAGGCTATTCTTACATTTAATTTGCTTTATAGTTTGCCTACAATATTTATTGTATATACATGTTGTCATTTAAGTGGAATCAGGAGAAAAATGTAGGTAGCACGATATTGGTGGTTGAAACCAAAACGCAATTCCTTCCGTTCGACGTATTTCAGAATTTCAATATTGTATCTTTTGGGGAATCTCTATACAAGTAGGTGGTGTCAGAATGTCCTTGTTTGTTTAAGTTGATCGTGTCGTTTTAATTTTTATATCTCTTAGTATTGACAGTAAGACTTTAGTGAAAGGCTGTGTTGATTTTTTCGGAAATATTCGTTCTGTAACTGCAATACAAAAAGCATTATCATTGCAAGTATTTATCTCACTTGTATATCGAGCTTCTGTTATATTAATAGCGTTCTATTTCGTAAATAAAACTTTGGATTCCCGCGATGTTAAAGTTCAATTGAATGAAGAAGAACGGGTAGGTATCCCTTGTTAGGATTCTATTCGTTAATATTTACATTTATTTACTTATTCCATTGTTTATTAATTTTAGAGTGACAAATTGTTGCATTCTATAACTTCTTTAACGACACCTGTTTTAATTGCAGTTTATACACATCTTTTACTTTGTCATTATGGTTATTTGGATTACGGTGGTTCATTTTGGAGATGGTCTAGCATATTCATATGTTGGTCTGTGTACATGTATTTGATTAAATATGAGGATGATTATGATTAATTATTTCCATTTAGTTGAGAATAAATTATTTTTATTGAATGCAACGTCGTTGATAATTATGACAACTTTTGAAGTGTTTATTTTTTAAAAAATTCCAAAGTTCTGGAGATTTACTATTAACTCAAGAAAATTTATCATAAATAATAAATATCTTTATTCGTGTTTTCTGGTACAACAAATGTCTTATGCTTTTCAGATTAACAACTGTTTCGGTCATTGTGAAAAAACCATTATGGATTATACAAGAGCACATCCATCTTACAATCTTGCAAAGCAACAGCGCAGCGAATGTACCCATTATTATCTACTGGAGCCGGAAAGCTAAAGTATGTAATAATATATAAAAGAAAAGAGACATGATGTGCGTAGTTGAATAATAGAAAAACACATTTTATATTTTTTAAAAAACGAGATCGAGTGATGCAAAACTCAAGATTTTCAAGTGTTATATATGCAAAATATTATAGTAATAAAGTACAGTTTAATGAACAGAGTTTAATTTGCAAATGTTTATTTTATTAATATCAAGTTGATGTTCAAAAATTTATGTACTTCATAAAGGTCAACTTTCTTTCAAAGAATCAGATTACTATAGAACTAAAAATATTTTATATAAATGACAAATTTAGCGCACCGAAATATGTCTTTCTGTTGACAGAGAGTATGTCATCTTTCTAATAAATCAAGTAGATAAAAACTATAAACGCAAAAACAAAACATTATAGATTAATATTCCCTTTATCTTTTCTTCTCTAAAAACTACGTAATCTATTTACAACTTTTTAGATTTTAAATTATAGCTAAATTTAGTTTAGCCGTGTACCTCGTGCATCAATATAAAGGCTGATCAGTTCATCGTTAGACTTGCATATTTTTTTCGATCGATGACTGAATCCGCACAATCTATCCTTGCAAGACTTCAAAAACGTAGATTATTGCTTCGTTCTTTGAAAAAATGGATCCCAAAACTTCGGTTGGTATATATAATTTTATTTTCCAAGACTAATTTCTAAATTTACTAAATTTTCTCCGTATTTCTTGTAGCTATCTTTTCTTTGTAATAGGAGTGTGCTGGTTATTTGTTTTTCCCCTAGAACAATATAGCAAGCATACTTATATATCAGAAAATGCCCTTCTTCCTGGCCAGGTTTTTCGTTTTAGTTTGAAAGACTATCCATACGTTTATTTTATTTTGGAATTTAATTTAACATAAACCGCCTCATTATTTTCGTAATTAATTAATAGGTAAATACTTATTATAATTGGCCACAGGTTTTTGAGGCAATGGCTTATAGGGATAACATTAAATCAATATTAAATTTGTCTAGTTTAGAGTAAGTTTATGTATGTATCTCTCGATAGCCCACCACAATTGTTGTCAGATTCACGTAATACGGTTTACTTTCGCTTGATCCAGAAAAGCCGAGCATATAGAAGATCAGTTAAAAAGATCCGGATTCAAAACAGCAAAACAAAATTTTACTGTAGTATCTTCAGGAAGGGTTAGTATGATATCGATTGATTTTTTTATGTTGCAAAAGTTGGTTATTTATAATAATTTGTAATAGGTTATTTCTGGAGTAAATGTATTTGGAGTGTTAAACTCTCCTCGGGCTGATGGTACTGAAGCACTGGTTCTTAGTGCACCATGGATATCCAAAGATGGAGTAACTAGTATGAGAATCAGAATTTACCGTACCATTACCAAAAAATACTTAAATAGTTTTAACATTCATCATTCATGTCATGCAAAAAAATTTAGTCAATATCAATGGAATAGCGGCCGCGCTGTCGATAGGAAAATTTTTTAAAAATACCGGTAATCATGAAGTTATTAATTTATTCGGTTAGATGAAACCATTCCTAAGAGAGTCTACTGTCATCTAGATTATACTTATTGGTCAAAAGATATCATTATTTTGATAACCGATGGGGGCGAGGCGGGTGTTCAGGCATGGCTGGAGTCATACCACGATCATCAACTTTCAGGTATTCACCATCGAGTTGGTTCATAAGTTGCAAACGTGTTTTCATAAACAACCGACGTCTAAGAGTGCACATGTTTAGATATAAAAGCATCCCCGCTACTATTAAGATCCGGTGCAATTCAAGCAGCAGTTAATTTGGATTTTCCCGGAGTTGATGATTATAAAGCCCTTGGGTTGTTTTTTGGTAGATCTTGGCATTTACTTGTTACTATCGCGTTTTACTATATGTACGATTATTCCCTAATCGCTGTTGTATTTCAAGAGGGATTGAACGGACAACTTCCCAATTTGGATTTGATAAACACCATCGTTCGTATTTGTCGAATATCCAATAATATCCCGATATCATTACACGATTCCGGCCATTTTTATACTCATAATGATGTGGGCGATTATCAATCTTCATTTTATAATTTATTAACAACAATGAAATATCAAGCTTTGGGACATCCGACTGGGAGTCACGGATTATTTTTTAGGTATAAGTTCTATATTTATTTATGTCTGACCTATACCTTTCATGTAATTGACTCAGTACTTGATATCTAAAGATATAAAATTGATGCGGTCACTTTGTACGGTTTGGCCGAAGCACCCAATGCTAGTCCTTATAGTTTCATGGAAATTGGACCGTAAGTTTCTTTATCGTGATTGAAACATGTTCATCCGTGTATAATTATTTAAATTCTCCATCATACTAGTATGGTAGAATCAACATTTAGAAGTTTGAACAATCTACTGGAACATCTTCATCAGTCTTTCTTCTTTTATTTGCTGCCATCTCCGGAAAGGTATATTTCTATTGGATCGTACTTGCCACCCGCTATATTGTTGGCAGTTGGTCTTATTTTCCATATATCCTTTAACTTTGAGCATACATTATTGAACTGATTTTTTTTGCACCATACATGAAAAATCCTTAATTGTATCCTTGTCTCTTTTGTTTATTCACGCCTTAGAATTATGGGCAGAAACGGGAGATGACACCGCGAAAACAATAAGCCAAGAGCTACAAAAGCAACCTTCAGATCCTTCAAACGTTAAGGCTCACATTGCTCCTTTAGCATACATGAGTCGTCCAAGAGAAATTTTGTTTCCAGTGACTGCATTAGTTATGGCTCATTTTTCTGGACTTATCATTTTCTTCGTTGTTAAAAATCATTTCATTATAAGTAAGGCGTCATATATCTTTGGAATTGATGTAAGTCAGAAATGTTGCGCTTTTATGTGAGTCGAAAAATAGCATATCGGATGCCTTTTAGGTTTTCACAGGTCTAAATTTTGACACATTGAAAATTGGATTTTCCGAACAATTCGCTGGTTTCGTTGCAATTGTCTCACAGTCTTTCCGTGTGATGCTTGATTCTGAATGCACCGGGGTGCTGCAATCGATAGATTGTTGGAAGTCTGAAAGCTCCTGATATGTTACTTTTCGACAAATGCCGTTGCTTGATTTTTATGATTAATCCTTTCGATACACATCACATTTAGGGTTACTTAATCACATTGGCAATATCTGTAAACATCTCAATAGTGGTATCAATGAGTTTGATAATTGCATGTCACAACAGAACTCATCATGATGTAGAATATCTCGCCAGACAACAACTGCAAAACTTGCAACCTGCAGCTCCAGATTGGATTGTGCTAAAGTCGTTCACTCTTGCATTCACGGCAATGATAATATCCTGCTTATCAGTACTGAATTTTAGCTTGGCTATATTCGTATCTTCAATGGTGATAATGCCGTTTTCATTATTCCAGCCAACATCAATTGATCTCTTTTCTGCGGATTTGTCTTCAAAAAATTTGAATTTGTCAGAAGCATTACAATCATCATCGGAAAATCCAAAATCCATCGAGAATGTAGATTCTCCGAAGTCTGGATCGTTTCCAGAAAAGAAAAATTCAGCAATTGAAGAAAATTCTTCGCTTATTTCAATAATCCGACAATTATTTTCCAAAGACTTACTTAATATTTTACAACTACTTGTACTGATCATCATCTCACCTCCAGGAATATTGATTATGACTGGTACAAATCTAGATGAGTTTTTAAGTTGGATTATAATGGAATATGAGCTGTTTGGTAGCTATTTGTTACCATTCGTTTGTTGTTTGTATTGGCCAAATATTTTAATTTATGCGGTTATTATATTCTCACCTATCAAATAGTCCTCTCAGGGATTAAAAGTTCCTGGTAGGTTTAACAACAATGTAATAGTTGAGGATAATTTGATCTTCTAGAATTTTTCTAATTTTAGAGAATAAAATAATTGGAGATGTCTTTATTTTTTATGTTGATTTATTCCACTGGAAATCCATCAATCTCATTATGTATATAAAGAAAAGAATCATCTGGATATCTAATTAGTTTAGCTAAAAATATTTCTATAATTTTTTTTCTTTTTAAAAGAATGAATATAAAATAAATCATATACAAAGATTTAATATGGACATTATTCCTCGATATTTATTTAATGTTAAATTACTGCGGTCTAAGAATCCATTTAGAAAGTTTACTCGATGTATACTTTGCACTTTTAAACATTCCAGCTGTCAAAATACCCTTCAAACTTTGAGTTAAGGCAGGCCAAAATACTATTTCACTCAGCCCTGTATATCGTGATGAAGAAAATAACGTTAATACATGAATAAAATGAATGAACATATAAATAAAATGCATGATTACCAGTTTCTATGTATTCTTCATATCCCTCAGAAGATGCAATGTTTTTATAAATTTCTTTGTCATCTTTTAAATTACCCGGAAATGGATTAGAAGTTTATACGACACTATAGAGGCGTGAGATGATTACTGGAAAGTTACCCACCTGACACCCAAGTTTTTCCATTTCTGATCAATTTCATTCTATGCTCTTCCCGAATTTTATGTCTCAAGACACGAGGCAAATCCTGTATCATCTTACCGCGAATTCTGGGATTATCATCTTGCTAATAAAAGGAACCAAATGATATTACCAAGCAAATATTTTATTTTATTACCAAATTTGGATTTTAAGAGATCTCTATACCTGAAGCTTGTCACTACCCGTGAATTCTACGTTCGGCAATCCTTTAATCAAATCCGCATACAATAAATTAAAGTTTCCCATCTGTTTTGAAACCACATTCTTTACTTTGTTTGGATTTTCCCCAACATATCTACGAAAATCTCCTATGATATAGATAGAATTAATTAAATTTTACGGAATAAAAGTATGAATGCATATAATATAATGCATGGATTTCGAAATACCTTTAAAAGATATTGAGGCAATCGTTAAGTAGAGCTGTTCTTCGGTGAAATTTTTTGGAAGTAAGAGTAAGGCTGTTTTCAAGGAGCTAGTCAAATTAACCTGTTGTGCTAAACGTATTCGTGCATCGTCTCTTAATATTATGATCTAAAGTGAAAATGGAATCAATTATTATCGCTTGGAATAATCAACTTTTTGAAAAGAAAGAGGTCAAGAAGACAAAAACTTACAGGTTTATGCATTCTCCCTGCCATATAAAGGTTTTCCCAATGCAACAAATCCTTGCATATCGAGTCGACCGATACCACTCCATATTTGATTAGCTACATCACCAGGAATCCGACACATAGATATATACATATGGATTGAACTAGAATAACGAGAAAACAAAATTGACAATAAATACATACCATGTTATCCATCTTCACATATGTGTTAAAATAGACGCCGGCACCAGTGTTTTCCTGTAGTACAGATACTGCCCTGCTACCGAGAGTTCCCATAAAAGAATAATGACTTCTATTTTGGTTGATGTTTAAGGAATGCCAGTGTTGTGGATGATTTACTGCAAAGATAAAATCCATCATCGGCTTTGGCTTAATTATAATTTGATAAATTAGAAAGTGTCATAAATTATCAAGTAGAAAAGAAAAAAATGTAATTCTATGCACCTTTCCTTCGTATCCTTTTTGCGGGAATACTCCGCTTCCATAAGCAAAGGCATATCTTATTGGGGCATTAAAGCCGAGTAATACTTTCTTTAATCGTTCATTGAGCTCATTGTCAATTGGTAAATGTTGATTTTTACCAAAATCAGGTGAAAGACGAACAGTATGTCGGGTCTTGATAGCTTGATGGTCGGGATGAACTATGGTATTTTCTGGTGATGATTTAAATTTTGACGAAGATTGCGATGACGAATTACTAGTAAGAGCAGCGGAATTGGTTTGGGTAGTTGAAAAGTAACGAATCGGATTTAGCTGAGGTGTTTTTACGGAACGAATTATTCGCATTGTAAAAGGGAAGTCGGAAATAAGTTTAAGGAAAGTACAGTATTTAACTGGTAAAAAACATTATCACGTGATTGATAAGAGATCGATAAATGGTTTAACTTTAATAAGTATTATGGTGGTTAAAGATTGATTTTTTTCCATTCTTAAAAAATTGTGAAGCAAATTAAAACTCGGGTACCCGCAACCGGTTCAGAGATGATATCAATTGTGCTAGAATACTTCTTGCACCACCACAATACTAAAAATTGTTGTTTAAAAAAATGATTCGATGTAAAAAAAACAATAAATAAATAAAATAAATAAAAGTGTAAAAATTCATTTAAATTTTTACTATCAATATTATAAGCTTATTTTTTACTCGAAATATAAATTTATTTAAATTCTTTTATTTTTATTTAAATAATAATGTCAATAGATGAACAAATTTTTTTAAATATTTTTTTTTTTGAAAATAAATATATTGAATAATTTTTTCAAAAAAAAACTCCGAAATATATTTTTTACATTCTTGTTTTCATTTCTAATATTTATGGCATTAATAATTTTATGGTTAATGCATCGTATCATCATAGGTAACATAAGAACATTCAGCATATACTAAATTAATGTTGCAAAGTCACTGTTCTATGTTTTGAAAAGGTGAATTATTCATTCATTTCGGTGAGTAAATAGCATTTCAAGTTGCGGCGTTCTTTGTCACACTGTAAATTAGGTTCAAAAAGCTCAGTAGAATCAACTGCGGGAATTCAATGCTGCGTTCATTTTCATTGATAATGCTCAATGTTATACGAAATTAGTAATTCATGAATATATGGTGCACGTGATTGATATTGCACTATTTAACATACATGCGTTTTTTTGACTCGATAAATTTCTCTATTGATGAAATAAAAAAGATCTCTAAAATAACAACTTTATTTTAACCAAAAATTCGATAGATAGTAGTACTCTTGTAAAAAATGTCTTCCGCAAATAATAAAAACGATCGGATTTCCTCGCAATCAGAGGATAACAATGAAAGAGTTTCCGAAACAACACCGCTTCTATCTAATAACCCAAAGAGAAATATTACCGCATCTAATGTTGATATCTCTGAAGATTTATCACCGATACCTGTTGAAAACGAATCAAATGAGAAAACCGAAGCGATTTATATATTAAAGAAATCAGTTCCTGTTACTTTAACATATGTCTTACAGATGTCCTTACAAATGGCTTCTGTATTTACATTAGGACACTTGGTAAAAATTTATTTTTTTCTCAATCTTATACTTTGCACAAAAATGTTACAGAAATCGAACTTAATAGTTTGTACCTAATAGGGATCAATAGAATTGGCAGCATCAGCGCTAGCTTCTATGGTAAATCTTAATTTTCGCATCAGGATGTGTCGAGTAAATACTCATTTGTTTTCTTACCTTTTCGAATAGTTTGCAACTGTTACTGGATGGTCCATTATCTTTGGTGCCTCGACAGCGCTTGATACTCTCGGGTCGCAAGCTTACACATCAGGCAATCCAAAGATGGTAGGTATATACCTACAGCGGGCCATTATTATTATTTTACTAGGATATATCCCAATTTCCTTAATATGGTTGGAATCAGAGTATATCTTGGTTTTTTTGGGTCAAGATCATGAAATTTCTAGCAAAACTGGTCTATTTTTAAGATACCTGTTGGGGGGTGCACCAGCGTTCTTGATGTTTGAAGTAATAAAAAAATACCTGCAAGCTCAAGGTACTATTTATTTGTTTTTTTAAATCTGAATATGCATTTTTTATATCCAACTTGTCTAATTTGTAAATTTTACAGGAATCATGCACGCCAGCACTTATGTTTTGATAATATGCAGTCCGATCAATATATTACTAAATTTTATGCTCGTATGGTACAAACCCATTTCGATTGGATTCATTGGTGCACCAATTGCTACGGCAATCACTTATTGGTTGATGTTTCTCCTTATTATAATTTACACAAAGTACATTGATGGTTATCAATGTTGGGGAGGATGGTCACGTGCTGCACTTCAAGATTGGGTACAATTTTTATTACTGGCGATGCCAGGAATCTTAATGGTTTGCTCGGAGTGGTGGGCATTCGAATTGGTGGCTCTAGCTGCTGGATACCTGGGTAGCAGTTCTCTAGCTACTCAGAGTATAGTTCTAACCACTGTTAGTTTTTTATATCAAATACCATTCGGAATTTCCGTGGCATCAACAAACCGTGTTGGAAATCTTTTAGGGGCTAGACGAGCATCAAAGGCGAAGACGGCTGCATTGATTTCATTAAAATTTGCAGTTTTTATTGGTCTTATCAACACGTCCGTATTGATGATCTTCAGGAACTCATGGGGGTATGTATATGGTGCAATAGTCATTCCCATGAGCACGCGTACACACACACTAACCTATACTAATTTTTAGATACCTATTCACGAACGATGAAGAAGTGGTGAAATTAACATCAATCATATTACCTATGGTCTCATTCTTTCAGGTATCATTTTGTCATCGTCAGTCATTGATCTTATCATGCGATTTTTTTTTTTTTTCTACTAAACTTTTCTTTTAAAAAAAAAAGGTATCTGACGGGATTGGTGCGGTAGGATGCGGTATACTTCGTGGACAAGGTCGTCAGAAAATTGGAGCAATGTTAAATGTTCCCGGATATTATCTCATTGCCTTTCCTCTGGGTATAATACTTGCATTCCACTTCAAACTTGGACTTATAGGTCTTTGGTGTGGCTTGGCAGCTGCATCCCTAACGGTTGGCATTGCTCTACTTTACATAATATTAACTACTGATTGGCAATGGGAGGTTGAATCATGTCAGAAAAGAATGAAAGGAAGTAATTATAGCCTTAATCCAAATGATTCTGCTTTATCATCTTCTGGTAATGACGATACTTTAGTATAAGCAATTTAAAAAATTTAAATTAAAAACCTTCCTTTAATGTTTTGGTATAATTAAAACAATATATATTTAATAGAGTTTATTAAATTGAAAGCTTAATTACCGTACCTCCAAAAGATATTAAATTGACAATTATAACTAGACATTTACATTAAAAAAGGCTAATTATAATATGCAAAAAAAAGAATGAGGCACAGAACTTATAAATATATTATTTTATCTTATGTATACTGAAAGTTTTAAAATTCCTTTGCATTTTTAATGCTGTCTGTAATGTTTATGCATAAATAAGTTATTTATTCCTTTCAAGAAGTATACTAAATTCCGTAATATTTATTTATAGCCATATTAAGCACAATATGATAAAAAATTTTCTGATATATAAATGTTTTCAAAGGTTTTTTATATATGAATTTAATTAAAAAATTAAATTTATACAATTATTTTATTAAAAATAATTTAATTATATTGTTATAAAAAGATCAACATTTTAATTAAAAATAATATAAATTAATAAAAATATATAATCAATTTTTTTTCAACAAGCAAGACCCTATTCAATATTAGTTCAAATTATATTATTTGATTATTAAAATTATAGTCAAATTAATTTAAAATTATTAATTAAATTATATGTTAAGTTTTGTTTTCCGATTTAATTTATATAATTCGTTATTTAAAAAATTAAAATTTGTAGAAATTATATAACATTCGACAAAAATAATTTATTATACTGTATAAAATTTAATATAATAACAATTATTAATTAAATTTTTTATTATAATAATTTAATATAACAATTTAATAAAATTGTAATAGTTAATTGTTATAAAATTTATTATAAATTATTTGATATTATATAATTTAATAAAATCAATAAAAAAAAACTCTTTTCTAATTGTAATTGTTTTTTTAAAAAATTTTCTTTTATAATAATTTGGGTTAAAGAAAAATATTTTATACTCTTTATTACAAGTGAACTTTAGCTCAAAAACTTAAAATAATAAAGATAACTGATGCAGTAAAATAGAATCTCTGGTTAAAGTCTATTTAAGTTTAAGAGTCTTGTTTATCCTTTAATTATATATGAAAAAACCTATAGCAGTATACTTTTATTTTTTTGTTTTCTTATAACCTATATTTTTTTAATATTATAAAAATTATCTTCATTATTATTATTATATTTGCTAAATTTATAAATATTTTTTAAAAAAATATATTCAAAAAAAGTTGTAAGGTCTTATGTTTGTTTCAATTTAATCGTTATTTATATTTCTTTATTAATAATACTTATTGCATTATCAAAAAAAATTAAAATTAATTTATTTTCTCAAATTAATTAATACCTAGAAACTATCTATTTAAAAACCATTACATAATTAAAATTAAAATAATCAATCAGTTCAAACTGGTTTACAACAATAACAACAATAATATTAATAATAACTATAATATTAATAATATCAATAACAATAACAACTATAATAATAAATCAAATCACTTATACTTTATTATTCATGTTAACAAAAATTTTATTTACAAGTTATAAAGAATTGAAAAAATAAAATAATATACTTGGCTAATATTCTCTTGGAAATATTATTTTTTTCTTATAGATTCTATAGTTTATTTGACTTTGTTTTAATTTTAGTTATATTTATTTTTTTTTTCAAATTTTCTATATATTTTAAACTTTTTTTTTTCTAAATAAACAAGTATAACTACTATTTGATTTATATTTAATATTAGTATTGTTTAAATCTTTTTTAATATTAACTATTTATAGTATCAGTAGATAAGCTAAAATTTAACTTATTATATACTTTGTACTTAAAAGATATTGATTCTTTTTAAATATATATCTTAAAATATATAAATAAATAAAAAATTAATATTTATCTATACTAGTCAAAATTGATTTATTTGATATAATGCCACTCATCAATTATTTGTTAAAAAAGTATATAATTCAATTAATTAATTAAATTTATATAACTTTTATCTTTGGCTATAAAGTGACATATAATTTGTTCAGTATATAAATAGTAATTTTTTTTTAAACCTTATTTTGTCAAAAGTTAATATTTTAACAATAATATAGATAATTTATTTTTTGCATCAAATATATATATATTGTACATTTTTTGACTTTGTCAAACTATATTACTTTAATGAATTATATTATCTTTCCAAATATATATATGTATATTACTAAATTATATTACTTTGCCAAATTATATTATTTTGTTAAATTTATATATACTTTTACTAAATTATATATATTTCAATAAAATTTTATATATTGTATTTGTAATTTAAAGGAATAATAACTAAATATCACAAGAATCTTATTAATTTGAAATCTTATATTTGAATAAAATAAATTAGTTAAAAATATTGTGAATAAAAAATATATATTTGCATTTAATAAGATAAAATTTGATACTTCATAATTCAACATTCATATTATTTTTGGATCTAAAATAGAATCTGATATTTGTCAAATTAACAGGTTTAAACTATTGAATAAAAATCAAATTATGTTTTGCCATATTATTTAATAAGTTAACCAAATAAGTAAGGAAAATTAAACTTTTTTCAGATATAAATTAATACTTTTATCATAATTCACAAATTGGGCTAAAACAAATAAATCCTTTATATTTTGTGATGATATAATGAAATTAAATATTTTATTTTCAATTTGATATCTTCTATATTGATTGGTTTTATTTTGAACAATATTAAATTATTATTAATATTTTCAATAAATAGTCTTCAAAAATTTATGGTTTTATAAGAAGCTTTATAATATTTAACTAATAAATTTAAGATTTTAAAAAATAAAATAAAATTTAATTTTTTAGAACACAATAGTTTGTCAGGAAATTGTTTAGATCTATTGATAACTATCTCTTAAATATTATATATATTGTTTAAGAATTAGTATAGTTTATTTGTCAAAAATTAATCCAATTAGTATTACAAATTATTGATTGAAAAGTTCAAAATTAATCAATCAGAATTCAAAATTTTTAGTTGTAACTAGTTGATTATATTGAAAACAACTAATTGATTAAAAAAATTTTTGCCAACTAATACTAAATCCGTCTAAAATTAATATGATATTTAATCAATTATTTAATATTTTGAGTTCTATATTATTATAATAGAATATAATTAGATTAATAATTTAATAGTTATTTATCAATCTTTACATTAGTTTGAGCTCAATATTTTAATAACTATTAGGTAATGATTTTAAGTTTAAAATTTGTTAGAATATTATTTTACAAATATTAATTATAAAAAAACCTATCTAACAAATTATTCATTTATTCAAATAAAAAATATCAAAAAGTATATAATGGCCTATAATTATATATGCATTTATATAGATATAAAGAAAGATAAAGGTTCAGCATAATTTTTTTTCATCATATTTTTGCTTAATTAACTTAATTATTGTTATTAATCTTTTATAAGCTTTGTTTAATAATTCTCATCTTACAATTTTGCATACTAATATCTGACATATTTTAATAAAATTAATTAATATTTGGTGAGCAATTTTTGAAAAATATTTCCATAAAACAATAATCATATATATTATTCTATTGGTTAGCAATAAAGTTTGAAAAGTCTTCTCTATAGTTTATTTTTTTTTAAGATTTAACCAATATCAGATAGTACTTGAAAATTTTCCATTGTTATTTATATTTTATCTAATGTATTATTTGTTAAAATCTCTTTTTTAATTTATATTTGTTTAATAAGCCATTTACCAATACCTAAAAAAAAACAGTGCATTGGATTAATAACCAAATACCAAATAGAATTAAAATAGAATAAGCAAAGAAACTCGGATTATCTAACTAGATTCTTATTGACAAAATACTTTTGTATTGTATTTGTATTGCAATTTCTTTATTCAATAACATTTTGTATATTTGTTGCCAAATTCTTTAATATAAACTATTTATTCATATTTTTCATGTCACTAAAGTTATATTGATTATTTATATAATTAGCTTTTTTTTTACAATGGTAACAAGATATTAGTACTGAAATGTATCCATATACTTTGCATGCTGCAGGAATATCACATGAAATTAAAATTAAAACTGCTCAAATTATTCTTTCTTTCTTATTTTTAGCAAATAATTCTAATATTATTTCTTGTCATAATTGCATCAATTTGTTAACAATCAATACAAGATAGTGGTTTATCTTGTATATGCTTAATTTACTGGAACCTGATAATATATCAAGAATTAGTATATTTTCATGCTTAAAGTATATATTGTATGGCAAATTGGCAATAGCTACATATATAACACCAGTACTATGTATTTTGTTATTATATAATTGAAACCAATATTCAATACTAATCATAAATACAAATTAACTGTTTTTTTACTAAAAAATAATCTAGAATTTCTATCCTTAAAAGTTTTCCAAATATTACTATTATAAATATTATATAACAATTCATTAGTGTTTGATTGATTTCTCCAATACTGAAGATTAGATTCAAAATCTGGATTTTAATATATCTGAAATAATTGCTACTAAATAGTTGTATAAGGAAAAATTAATTTTGGTCAGTTAATATTTTTATTTAATAATTTAAACTATATAAATAATGAAATATTGATTTTCTTTTTTAAGTTGTTAAATTCAGAAATTCAACATGAATGCACTTTATTATTGATAACCAATTGTTTTTTAAAAAACTTAGTATATTATTTTGTTTACATAATTTGTGATATTTTTGATATACTATAAAATTAACAAATTAATCTGATAATTCAAGTAATTTTTTGGTCATATATAATGATTCACAAAAAAGTTAATATTCACTGCTGCCAATTTAATTAATACCAACTTCATGAATTTTATAAATGCTTTTGTTTCAATATCTAACAAATTAAATTTTATTCTAAAGTTTATAATCTATAATAAAATCCATATAAAATAACTATTAACAAATTCATAAAAAA